AAAAACCCAAACCAAACATTTTGGATATATTTGTATGCAATAAAAACTAGGTGGAAAAAGCTAACTACTCAACCTGAATGAAATTTATGTCCCATTTTTTGAGTGTGCCACCAAACTGAGCAGTCTAGCTGTTTTGTAAACGAATACTCCTCCTTCTCACAATAAGAAAATAAAATATTTGAACATTTTATTTAAAAACAATCAGTAACCATATTGATGTCTCTGGAGAAATATTTGCTGCTATTTTAATAAGCAATAGCAAAATAGCTTTTTTATTTTTCTGTTTAATAACTTACATTTCCGTACAACTGTCTCCAGTAACAGTTCAGGTGCTCAGTCACAGCTCCCACACAGTGGTATGATATGCAGTAATTAGTTCATTTTCTTAACATTTTCCAGATGTAAATTATGCTAAAATCTGCTCTTGGTGTCTGCTGATTAATACAAACCTTGCAAAAACATTTTCCATGTCCAAAAGACTGCAAAGTAGTAGCAGTCTCTGGTAGGACATTAAAAGTTTTACATCATCAGGTAGGGATCCTCTTCAGAATCCCATCTATCGTGTATCTGTCTCTGAGGTGAATATTCTTAGGACTGTCTGGTTCATTGACCACCCACCCACGCCCAGCCTGTCCTGAGTGTAGTGGAGGAGACACTGAAACTCTGCTGCGAGCTCCTTCTCCACTCCAGGCTTGCAATGTAGGTAGGGTGTCTTACTGGTTTGAGGCAAACTAACATTTAGGAAGGTTCATCTGTTGACCCAGGACCCGTTGAACTGGTATTATTTGAAGAATGAAAAGATCATACCTACTCCAAAAGACTAAAGATGCAGGACTATTATTTTACGGGACAATATTCACCCACCTTGCTCTCTCATCCCTAACATGGCTCCTCAACATGTATCCTTCCTCCAAAATTACTTATACATCTTAAATGTGTGACTTACTTAGGATTTTGGTACTGTAGGCCAGTCTTTGCATTGCTAGTTATACCAAATTTTTGTATCTTGTGTTCTTACATGATATCTTACAGTGCTCTTCATGACATTTCAGTTCATGCATTTTTGGCATATTCACCATGTCTGCAGTCTTTGTGTATCACAGGAATAATAACTGCAGTGATATTAAAGAGGGTAATATATTATGGAAGCAAAACTAGTTATGAATTGGGCAAAATCAGTTAAGAAATTTTAGGTTTGGGTGGTGAACCTGGGGGTGAACAAGAAATGCAGCGGCATAACCATGGATACCTAGGTTAGAAATCACTAGAGAGGAGTAACATTTAGAAGGTCCTGCTCCTGCCAGCAGTTTGTGCTACTGGTTTGCAGTTACTATGACTTTGGATATGGTAAAGAGATAATAGAAACATCAATCCTACCCTTGGGCATGTCTATTTTAATCCATATTATCTTGACAAAATACATATGAATAGAAAAGAAATAGATAAGCACAAGGAAGGAGCAAAGATGAAGTGAAATCAGAATAAAGAGAAACAGCATATTTCCACCATAAATACGCTGTTATATACCCATAAATGCAATAGGACAAAGGGAAAAGAGAAACCAGTGCTCTCTTAAAAAAAAAAGTTTTGACAAAAAGACTTTTTACCAGAACAAGGAAAAATTATTATATTGGACAACAAACATTTTAGTTAAATCACAGGAACAATTAATGAATAACAGAAGTGTGGGATTTTTTCTCCTTGTATTTGGAAACATGAAAAGTTAGTGTCACCAATAAAATGGTAAACTGTACACATAGGTGCTGTTCTATCACAGCCAACCTATGAGGAGAAACAGAGGTCAGCAGAACTTTAAAAGGCAGATAGGACTTAACTCTGACTTTAATTTGCTTTCAAAAACGTGGTCACTGACCCTTTAAATCACAAGGCAGTTACAAGCATTGTAGTGCCATTACTAATTACATGCTGAGAGTGTAAATTTGAAATGGCAATTTCAATTTTCAGTTCATTGGGAGAATGCAGGAAAATGAAATTGAATACTAATTAGCTCATATGTGTCAGACACCTGACAGATTGGAGAAAAAACTCTGCACTCATTACAAGTGAGTTATAAGCAAAGCACTCAAAACTTTCATTTGCCAAGCTGAATATAAATAAAGAAATTAAATGACAAAGAAAATTGATAATGATGGAAAAAGTCAAAAATAGCTACAGACCTGTACATAATAATACTTTATGGGACTTTGCCCATTATACACAGCTTCCTTTAGAATTCATCTCGCATTAGAAATTATAAGAGGGCAACAGGATACTGCTTCAAGTTGATTGCACTAAATGTTAGTTTCCATTTCCTAAAAATGCAGGTTCTGGTTTGGAACTTTCCACTTAATCTTTGCCAAACATTCACACCATTTTTCAGGACCCATCTTCTGGACCAGTGGCTTCATCATCAGACCAACATGGAAAAGGTCCCATACACAGAATCCTTACGTTAGGATCCGGGAACAAGCTGATGACATGATAAAGAAAGTAAAAACTCAGACTAGGTTGTTGTTAGAGGGAGCTTTTCTCCCACAAGATCAGCAAGAATGTAGCCTGAAACTTAGCACAAATCAGAGTTACAAAAAGTTTGTAACTTTCTACAAATACTTCTGAACTATCTCCCTGGCCACTAGAGAAGCAATCCAAAAATAAGATACGGGCTTTCTGCTTCTCCTCTTCTCTCAGCAGAAACTGTTCACCCATACAAGGGTCAGGCACTGGCTGTCTCTTAGAGGGTATTTCATACTTGAAATACAAGTATGGTTCTCTGATGTAAGGAACTACTATGCAGTGCAGAAAGTGTGAGTCTGTGTAGGTCTATATTCTTGCCAAATCAAAACAGGGCTTCTGCAGAACACTAAAAAGCACTTTTTCTCTACAAGTATAATCTCCCTGAAAAATTTTAGTCTTCTGAATATTAAAAATAAAAAATAAAAATCCTCTCAAGATTTAAATTTCTGTTTTTAAATTATGAGGAGTATTTTTTATTTTTGCTTTGAACTAAAAAAGAAGATAAAAACTCAGCAAGTTTTGTGAAAATTATAGTCCGGTTTATTTTTCAAGGAAAATTAGAAGGAAAAGAAGGGAATGCTAGGTGCTTAATACAAATTAATCATATCAATTAATCAGCTTCTAGAAAGTCCTTACATACTGTAGCTGTCAAATCTACAGAATAACCTGCATGGGAATGGCATTTCCCAGATTAGGTCATTAACTCCAAAAAAGAACAAACTGTTCAAACCTAACACCATGGGCTGAAATTTGTAGGCACATTTTCTCCAACCTGCTTTGCATGTAAGAGCAAGGGTAAAACTTCCCTGGGAGCCAAATCCAAGACAGACATGGCTCTGGTCTGGGTAGAACCTGCACACCCACCTAATAGCTGCCTCTATGGTGCCAAGTACAAACGTGGAAGCAACATATACCATTACCTATCCTCCTCCAGTTCATCTCCTAGTAAAGATGTATCTAGGGGGCCAGTGCTAAATGATTTTGAATTTTTTCTGCAGCTTATCTAATAAAGCCCACACCCTAAAGCAGCCCAAAAGCTATTGTAATACGTTTTCATTATCCATTACTTACATTAGCTTCCTACTCCTGTTTAAGTCCCTTAGCGTTATTCTTTCCAGTTCTTTTTCAATGTATAAATTTTACAGACTTACTAACCCCTCTGGTCTTTATGGAAGAAAACTGATTTAAGATGCATTGAAGGGCCTTTGTGTTTTCACTCTGCAGTGAATTAACAGTCACGCCAGTTTCATTTTTCAGAACTGACAGAATTCAGCACTCTCACCACACCAGTTTCAGAAAACTTCATCAAGCAGTGTTTTCTGCCTGCTCTCCAAACAAGAAGAATGAACAAGTAATCCTATATGCTTTTCCCCCATATGTTTGGGAACTGCTTAGAAAATTATAAATAGTATTCAGTACAAAAACTTGAGTATGAGCAAAAGTGATGCCATGTACACAAATGTAACTTCAAGAAGAGTATGTCTGACATACCCGAGGGATGTATGGACAGTTCAGCTTAGTGCTGGTAGACAATATGCTCAGGTACCATCTTTTGCTACTCCTGTGATGGGTTCACTGGGAGGGAAGCACCCCCTCCACATACTGGCCATATTGGCAAAATACATTGGAAAACAAAAGGTTTTCCCAGAAGTATTTAACATCACCTTTATTAACTAACAGCTAGAAATGCTAAAGCTTAGCCCAATTCACGAATCATGAGAAGAAAGCAACATAAACATAAAAAGTGGAAACAATTACTAGATGATCATTATCTCCATTAAAATACAGCCACAGGACTTCATATTCACTGCTTAGGGACTTTAAGTGAAGTAATTTGCTAGGTGCAGAGAAATCCAGTCCTCAATAAAAGCACTGCCACTTGAATCATTCTAGCAATAACATCCTTGAGTGGGAATGAAAAAACATGTATTTTCAGCCCCATGGATGAGGTTGAACTAATAGCTATTTCAAATTTAATTAAGACAGTTTTTGTTACCTCCAGCATGATGCACACAGTGCTTAACCTGTGTGCCCAGAGCAGGTCTGCAGAGACAACAAAATATTCCTGTGGGCTCTGGTACAGCCAAAACCACATAAAAGCACTCCAAAATAATGTCCAAGGAAAGCTGCACGGGTCAAAGTATCCCTACCAAGAGGTATTGCTGAAAAATGTGACTAAGGACCCAATGAGCAATGTAATATATGTGGAAAGCAGATTCCTTGAAAAGAGTCTTTCTAAGTTTGCTTCCATGGTTTAGAGCCACAATGGAACATATGAACACGTTTTTTAGATAAAAGGATTTGTGCATTTGTAAAGTCAAGATTATTACTGTTTTGCAGCTAAATAGTGCCTTTTGGTCTGAGCCTTGTTTCTGACGGTGAATAAGAATCTAGCTGTGAGTTTACCACTTGTCTTCATCAGTTTCTTAAGTGACTCTGTCAACTGAATCAAGGAGATTTTTTTCCTCCTCAGCTCCATCTGTTACCTGAATCCATGGCCATCTGTCATTTTCTGCAGCAGTCCAAGCATTCACAAGACCCTTCTTATTAAGCCGTGCATAGTACGGATACCACTTCTGGAGTCCGAAAAGAGCTCGATGAGTGGATGACGCAGTAATTTGTTGGTTTGACACAATTCCTCCTTCTATTCCTAGTGGACCAGAGCATTCTGCAAATGGAAACAATAAAATAAATGAATCGAACTGAAATTATCAACTCTTCTGAGTCCCAAGTGGCTGTAATTGCAAATAACATACAAATAGATCCAAAATGTCATGTCAAATACATTATTAGAAGAGACTTAAGACTCAAGTAGCACCTGCTTTCTGCAGAATTTAAAAAAAAAATAGCTTGTAAATAACTATTCCTATTTCAAAATTAATGAAATAGATCAAGCTTTCAATTTCTTTAAGTTTGTTGTATCTGAAGAGTTGTGAGTTTGGGTTGTTTGGATACAATGACAAAATGATACTGAGATTCAAGTACTGAAAAAAATGCTATAAGCAAATTTAAAAGTCTGCAACTAAAGATATGCTTTGTGGGTCAACTGCACTTCAGCAAATCTGAGCACAGCAGGAGAGATGTTTACTTACACTTCAGATTTTCTCAAAAGCATGGCAATGCTTCACCTCAAGCAGTACCCAAGAATGAACTCTGAAGTGGTACTGCTACAAAATCCTTACCCCGTGTGGGCAGTAAGTCACAAATAATTAAATTCCACATTAATACGAAGGTACAGAGAAGAGAAAGTGACCAGTGCAATTTGCTCCTCTCAGGAGAAGCTGAGGTAGGGATATGGGAGTCACTGGCAATACAATCCTCAGGCACTGATAATGGAGACAAAAGTTACATCGCAGTTTTAAGCTGATTATGGAGCAAGGGCTGTGGACAAGCACATGCTTGTGCCCTGGAAAGATAAACGAAAGACCCACACAGGTGGGGTTCTGAATGTGTTCCTTCTTAAAGGCAAAAATTGGCTTACCTCCAGGATATGAGTAAATGAAATCTTGGCCCCACTGAAATTAATGACTAACTTGCAACATAAAAAGATTTCATCCACATTTTTAACAGTCCAGGGAGCTTACACTAGAACCTAAAGTCCTGGTGCTACTTTTCTGTGTCATGTATCAGTCAACTAGCTGGCAAATGAAGTTGCTCGGCCACTGTCCATAATATTTGAGAGGTCATGGCAGTCAGGTGAAGTTCCAGACGACTGGAAGAAGGGAAATGTAACCCCTATTTTCAAGAAGGGAAAGATGGAAGACCCAGGAAACTACAGATCAGTCAGTCTCACCTCTGTGCCCGGCAAAATCTTGGAGCAGATTCTCCTGGAAAGAATACTGAGGCACATGAAAAACAACGAGGTGGTTGGTGACAGACAGCATGGTTTCACTAAGAGGAAATCCTGCCTCACCAATTTGGTGGCCTTCTATGGTGGGGCTACAGGACTGATGGACAGTGGCAGAGCAGTTGATGTCATCTACCTGGACTTGTGCAAAGCGTTTGACACTGTCCCACACGACATCCTTGTCTCTAAATTGGAGAGACATCAATTTGATGGATGGACCAACAGGTGGATAAAGAACTGGCCGGATGGCCGCAT